AGATCACGAGGTTAATTGTTGCATACCGTAACGGCTGTCTCTTATACACATCTAGATGTGTATAAGAGACAGAATTATAACAGCCACCCTCCCTAGCACCTGCTTGTGGCCGCTCCATCTTTTGGTGGGGAGCTTCACCTGCTAGAAGTCATTTTGTCAATCATCAAATTTCCAGGTAATCATGCAAATCAGCCATACCTTTTTCTTTTTTTCTTTTTTCTTTTTTTTTTTTTTTTGTTTGTGTGTGTGTGTGTGTGGTTGTGTGTGAGGTAAATACGTTCATATCACCTTCGAGTACGGAATGGGCAAAAAAAACACGCGTCGGCAAAGAAAACCGCGCCGAGTTCGAAAAGCCGACGGAAGTACCTACGGCCTTGGTGTCAGACTGGGTATCCTATTTACAGGGGTCGGCCGAGGTGTCAGAGGGAAAAAACAAAAAAAAAGCCCAACGGATACTTTTGGACCGAAGTCGCTCATTTCGAGTTGGTGCGTGGCTTCTTTGCCGGAGCAAGTTTTTTTGGCCGGTTTCAAAACATGCGGCATCTGCCGTTGTTTCTTCTTTTCCAGGTTTGTCATTAATTTCATGGGATGTTGGACCCAGTTTCCGGCAGGTGTGGCTCTGCGTTAGAAGACTGGAGGCAGTCATCCACCAACCCAAAAAGAAAAAGAAAAACTGAGACATGCGGCCATGCAGGTGACTTCTACTTGTCTTTTGGGGCAAGTACGTTTCAGTCACTATCAAGTTTCGAGTGGGCAAAAAAAACACATACCAGCAGGTCAGTCACGCGCCGCGTTTGTGAAAGGCAATAAAAACACAGTGTGACTTTCAAAAGGGGCGAGTCAGGTTTTTTACAGGCCAGGGAGGCGTGGTGTGCAGACTTCTGTTTTACGTTTCTATTTGAAACTCGCACTGCAACAGACCTGCCGACCTCATGAATAGATTGGAGCAATTTTTTTTCTAGAAAAAAAAAAAAAAAAAAAAAAGACCTGCCGACATGAGTTTTTTTTGCCTTTTTGGAAACTCAAAGCCTGACGCCGCTGCACTAGTTTCTTCTTCCTTCTTTGAAACAAGTCCGGCAATGTCACACTTTCAGTTTCGAAAGGGCAAAAAAGACGTGCGGGCCACAAAATCGGGTGCCCAGTTTGAAAAGGGCAATCTCGGCAAAAATGGCTGTGGCCCACGTGTGATTTTGTTGCCCTTTTCAAACTCGGTGCGCGAGTTTGTTGCCCGTTTCAAACTCGGCTCGCAGGTTTGTTGCCCTTTTCAAACTCGGCGCGCGGGTGAAAATGCTTTTGTTGCTCTTTTGAACTCGGTGCGCCAGTTTGTTACCCGGGTGTGATTTTGTTGCCCTTTTGAAACTCATTTGTGCCACAACTGAACTTACCCCTTTTTCTTTTTTATGGGAAACTTTCTGCAGTCCATCTGTGGTGACTCATGCCTGCTGGAAATAGGGCCAAGCATTCAATGAATTAACAAAATGTCTAAAGGCTTTAAACGCCGACATTCAGGTGCATTCTCGTCGCTTTTTGACAGATCATGCCAAAACTGTCCCTGTTGTCGCAAGTGGGGCCATACCTGGTGAAAAAGGGAGCAGTTCAATGGCCCCCACTTACTGTGCCGAGACCTCCCTCCGCCCATGCTCACCAATAGAATAAAAAACATCTTAACTAAGTAATGTTGATGGCTTGGCAAAGATCATGCCCCTGGGTGCCTGCAGGGCCAGATGCATTCTGACAAAGGTATTTGCGGGAATGCCCACTGCCATTAGTGGCAAGTAGGGAACTTTCCCAATGCAAAGCAATGCTCCCTTCGATTCCGTAATGACCTTTTTCTGAAGTTTCCCTGCAGGTAATCATACCATGGCAAAAGAAACCGTCATCATACGATTAGCTCCCGACACCGACCATGCGGCTTTAGGAGTCAGGGCAAGGCCCCACTCATGGCTATGTTCATGGTAACGAAGCACGGATAAGACCGCAATTGTTGCCTAGGTGCGTACTGGCCAAGCAGGAATGTAGCAACAGTGGGCCCTGATAAGCCCAGTGGAGTCTGTGGACCTGAGCATCTGCTGCTAGACCTGCCCTTCCCTTGTTGGACTCAGACATTTTCTTTCCTTTCGGGCTTCTTCGGGTGAATCTTCACCTACTATCGCTAGCGTAATCATCTGGAATTAGGGCATTCATCCGTGCGCCACGGGTCACGCTAATCCTCTCTGTACCATTCCAGTTTTTACAAAGATATACATAGCACAGAGCAGCATCACTCTAATATCGAAAGCCCAAGTATTAAATTTGTTTTTGTACAAAGGACCAGATAATCATCATTATATCCAATTACAAGTGCAGCTTCCTGCACTGCTTTCAAGCCCTTCAGATCCTGTCTACCTTTGCCTACCCCCAAATGACAGGACATTAATGGGTGTGGCCTCCTCCCC